CCACCATGTTACGTGGAGAGAGACCCTGCCTGGCACGAAGTGGGCCCTTCCCGATTGATTGTCCCTGCTCTGAGAGAGGCTTCCGCTGGGCCCAGGCTGAGCCGTGTGACCTGGTCACCACGTCACTTGCCCTGTTGTCGCACCTCAAAGTGCAGGAGCAGGGACCTCAAAGGATCAAAACTGGCGGGATGGAGTGTGGGGAGGGCTGGGGCCACTGTGCCACTGTACCATGTGTCTCACGGGTGGGGACAGTGCAGAGAGGGAGGGGTGCCCGTGAGGACCGCCAGGTTTCTGAGACCCAGGGGCTGCCGGGATGTTGACTTTGCTTTTACAAATGGAGTTGTGGACATGGAGGGGGGTCTTTAGTGTCATTAAGTCCCAGGGAAAACCTAAGAAGTGACAGGAGCYGGGGGTCTTCTGCCTCCTGTCCACCTGCTGGCAGGTGGGGCCTGGCCCGGCTTCGCTCCTCAGGTGGGCGGGAAGCCGGGTGCCTGCACTCCCAGCCCTGTGGGTCACCTCCACGTCCCCCCCCAGGGAACCAGCTTCCTGTGGCAGTTGTCAAATAGCCGTGCCACCTGGGACACCGCGTGTCTCTGCTCCAGGCCTCAGTTTCCCTCCTTGTCCGGTGGGATCTGGGCTCGCTCCCGGGCTGGGGCGTGGGCAGCGGAGYAGAGTGAACAGGGTGCCCAGCTCGGTCGGGGCTGGCGAGCGTCCGTCTCTGACCCAGGAAGGATGTTCCRTTTGAAGACCAGCCAGCTTCTGCTGTCACCTAAAGAACCTTGCCCCTGAGGATCCAGGATGCCACCTTGGAATGGGGACAGTGGCTCCACTGTCCTGAGCTAGCCACCTGCACCCAGGGGTTTGGGAAACCCTGGGTCACCTCTGCTTCTATCCCTGTCGAGCTCCGTGACGCTCGAAAGCAGCAGGGACACGCCTAGGAGGATGCGCCGCAGGCCTGGGGGGGCACTGAGGCCAGGAAGAGGAGGGGCCTGTTTGAGGTCAGGCCACAAGGCAGTGGCAGAGGGCCGGCCTCCCTGATCCGGGGCCTCCACCCTCTCAGGCCAGGGAACAAGCCAGCTCTTCCAGAAGACGTGTTTAATGGCAGGAAACTCATTACCTACATCAGAGGCTCCAAGTCAGTGCCGGTCCTGTGTCCCTTCCTGTCATCTGCGCCCCTTTTGCACCACGTGGTCCTCTCCAGGAAGCCCTGGGTGACCAGGAAAAGAAACCCTGGCATGGCCCTGTGATGTCACCTACAAACACAAGGCCCAGCTGGTCCTTCTCACTTTTTGGTGAGGTGGGCGCTCCACCCTCACTCTAGCAGGTGACCATCCTGCTAAAGAGGTCCGCGGTGGCCAGAGCGGTTGCTTAGTTGAGCAGGTTGCTGCAGACGGGGTTTTCAGGAGGCTGGGGAGTCTCAGCGAGGGCGCAGGTCTGGGGAGGTGACTTCCCCCTGGTGCTGCTGAGCACCAGGACCTTTGGGAGCCTTGAGGACCCACCCAGGCCCCCACAGAAGGGGGGAGCTGCTTTGGCCTGGAGAGGGGCCAGAGCAAGGGGTGAACTGAGCCCCGGGTTGCACTGGGGGCCACAGGAGGTGGGGAGCAGGGCCTGGGGGTAAGTGGCCAAGCTGGGGTGAGGGTTTCCTGTGTGGACTCGGCGCCTGGGACTGGCCCTGCCTGGGCTGGCTGAGGCTCCCTCATCTTCACTCACTAATGGGGAGCAGTGGCCAGGGCTGGGGAGGGGAGGCCCCAGCACACAGCCACGGGGCGGGGGTGGCTCCTCAGCCTCTGTTCCCAGGACCCCTCCCAGAGGGCAGGAGCCCGCCAAGAGGCCTCTTCTGCAGTGCCAGGTGAGCCACCACGCCAGGAGCCATTTCTTCTGGGCAGAGGGCCARGGGGACTCGGCAGCCTGGCCTGTGCTCAGCCCGGGCAGGACCCTCAGCCTGTCTGGAGCTCGGGAGCTGCATCAGGGCAAGGCCCCCAAGCCTYGTTCTCTCTGCTTCTCCTGCAGGGATGTGGGGACACGCCGGGGCCTGTCGGGTGCCCGGTCTTCCCTGGCCCAGGCCCAGCGCCCTCCTGGGAGGAGATGGATGAGGCCAAAGGGCCCCCCTCCCAGGGCTCTGAGCAGGCCTGCTGGAGCGGCCAGCGGCCCCACTCGGGGACCCTCAATGCAAGTGCTTTCCGCCTCTGGACCTCCCCAGCCTCAGGTGTAAAACAAGGGTCTTGAACTCCGTGACCTTGTACACCCCAGCTGTGTGTGTGTGTGTGTGTGTGTGTGTGTGTGTGTGTGTGTCTGAGGAGGGCAGAGGCCAGGTGGGGAGAGGCCGGGGAAAGAAGACCTTGCTGAAAACTGGGCTTTTGAACCAGAAGCACAGGTGGCCTCCAGTCCCCCAGGCCACCACCTGCAGCCCTTGCTTTTGTGCCTTTGGGGAGGTGACAGTGAGAACCTGGGAGCCTAGTGATAGTCAGGACCTCCGAGGGGCCAGTTTGCCTAGGGGCCGTTCCCACAGGCCCTCCCGGGTCTTAGGATGCTGGGCTTGCTGGTTCCATTTTCCAGATGAAGAAGCAGGTTCAGAGCGGTCGATGTCCTGCCCAGGTCCCACAGTGGGGCYGATCTGGGACTTCCACCCAGAACTGTGGGCCCAGGGAGTTCCTGGGTGGGGTGGGGAAGGGAGAGGAGCCAGGGGTCGGGTGGGGTGGCCGCGGGGCAGGGTGGGGGCTGGGCTCAGTCTCCCTGGACAGGGAGAGGGAGTTTCTCGGGGGAGAGGCAGCCTCTGAAGCTGTTGATCTCTAAATTATAGCGTTGGCGCGCTCCAGTTGCTGTGGCAACCGAGTTGTCCTGAACCGGGGAAGTGTATAAACATTGCCACAGATGCACAATTAGATCAGGAAGAAGAATAGAACAGAAAATAGAAACTCCCAGCCTTATATAATTCTGGGCCAAAATGTTATCAGGAACCCAGGCTGGGCCCTGGCCCCGGGGGCCCCAGAGCCCCAGGGCAGGCCCAGCTCTGCTCTGGGCTCCGATGGCAGGGCTGGGGACGGGGGGCAGAGTGTCTGCTCTGGGGGCCCAGCTGCTGTGTCCGCCACCAGGGTAGAGGGGATGATGGGCCTCCTTCGCTGAAACAGCTGGGGACAGTGACAGGCCAGCCTGCCTGTCACCAGCTCCGGGGAAGCGGGAAAGAAGGAGCCTGGCTTTAACTTCTTGGGTCTTGTGAGGTAGGGTTTCTTTTTTGTTTTTTTGTGGTGCTGGGGATGGAACCCAGCCCCTCACACATGCTAGGCAAGCGCTCTACCCCTGAGCCACAACCCCAGTCCTTTTCATTTTCTTTCGAGACATCTAAGAGTTACTGAGGCTGGCCTCAACGTGCYATCCTCTTGCATCAGCCTCCCCAATCTCTGGAATTGCGGGTGTGTGCCATCAACCCAGCCCAGGCAGGGGTTTTGACCCCCATTGCTGTCCCCAACCCACATGGGCACTGAACTTAAGATGTGAATCTCCAGGGACATCAAATAAAACACAGACAGAAACTTTACCTTTAAACAAGCTTCAGGACAGCTTCTCCGCTCTCGGCCTCAGAGGCTCCCCAAATGGGAGAGAAAGAGAAAGTAACGAGAGGGCGAGCATGTTCGGAAGTGGGCTTTTATTGGGGGGACCCTTGTTCTTAGAAAGTTCCATCCAAAAAAGGCCAAAAGGGGCAGGGTTACAAGGGACAGGTGAGTGTAATTCAACCCAAGGGGCCTACATCTACATCTCAAAGCATGCCCTCAACTTCCTGGACCCGGGCACTGTCCAGGTCACTACGAGATGTAGTGACTGGTCAAAGCCTCTCCGTTCCAGGATGGAAGGTGCAAATCATTCAGAGTGGCTCCCTACACCCCACTTTGACCCCCAAATGAGGAAATTGAAGCTCAGAGAGGGACAGTCCAGGGGCAGAGCTAGGCAGGGTGTCTGCCTCTCCTATTCTATTCTTGGTCTCCACATCATGAATTCACTTACTTCCCAGCTGTGTTGTCTTGAGGAGGCCACTTTCCTTCTCTGAGCTACTTGAGAGCAATGATGCCTACACAGGACCAAAGCCTGGGCTTCCCATTGTTCCATCCTGACCATGTCACCTGATTTTCACCCACCACGTCCCAATAAGTGTAGAGACAGGACAGGAATCAGGCTCATTGGCCAAAAGCAACACTGAGAGAGAAGAGTTCAAGGGAAAAATCCATTGGAGGTGGGGATGCAAGTCCCAACTTTCTGATATGATGCTAACATAACCTATGACCGCAGCTGTGATGGTGCACACCTTTAATCCCAGAGCCTGGGGAGGCTGAGGCAGGAGGATCACAAGTTAGAGGCAAGCCTTAACAACCTAGTAAGACTCTCAGCAACTTAGTGAGACCTATCTCAAAGCAAATTTTAAAAGGGCTCAGGATACGGCTCGGTGGTAAAGCACCCCTGGGTACAAAAAGAAAAGGCTTATGGCTTCTCTGTCCAGTTTGGTGGCCACTAGCCACAGGTGGCTACTGAGCACTTACAACGCTAATGCAAATATGAAGCTGAATTCAAACTTGTGTTTCTTGTTAATTAAATATGAAGAGCCACGGGTGGCCAGCAGCCAGCATACTGGGCATCACGGGAGGGTGTCCAGCCTTGGAGACACCTGGAAGTGCAGAGGGTGGATGMAAGGAGGCAACTGAGGTCAGAGCTCAGAAGAAGTGGAGAGCAGAGTCAAGATGGGTATCAGGAAGCTTCTAGAACAGTGAGCAAAGCACCGTTGGGGAAGGGGGGGTACTTAGGACCTGGATCCAGGTGGCCTTGGCTTCCTGGTTGGAGATGGCCAGCCTCAGGGCCACCAGATGTGCCACCTCCAGGCTGTGGGGACGGGGGCGCCTAGTCCAGGCTTCTGTGGTGCTGAGTGTCCTTGTGCAGGCGCCCCCGTCCCCGAGCCCGGGTCCCCCCAGGCAGCCTGTGCTCCCCAGCACCTCACCTGTCCGGCTTCTCCGCAGGCCCTGCCTCTTCCCAGGTGACCACGCCGGCCTCAGGACATGCACGGGCACAGCCGCAACGGGCAGGCCCACGTGCCCCGGCGGAAGCGCCGCAACCGCTTCGTCAAGAAGAACGGCCAATGCAACGTCTACTTCGCCAACCTGAGCAACAAGTCGCAGCGCTACATGGCGGACATCTTCACCACCTGCGTGGACACGCGCTGGCGCTACATGCTCATGATCTTCTCCGCGGCCTTCCTCGTCTCCTGGCTCTTTTTTGGCCTCCTCTTCTGGTGCATCGCCTTCTTCCACGGTGACCTGGAGGCCAGCCCCGTGGTGCCTGCGACCGGGGGCCCGGCGGGCAATGGCGGGGCGGCGCCCGCAGCCCCCAAGCCCTGCATCATGCACGTCAACGGCTTCCTGGGCGCCTTCCTGTTCTCGGTGGAGACCCAGACGACCATCGGCTACGGGTTCCGCTGCGTCACCGAGGAGTGCCCCCTGGCGGTCATCGCCGTGGTCGTCCAGTCCATCGTGGGCTGCGTCATCGACTCCTTCATGATCGGCACCATCATGGCCAAGATGGCCAGGCCCAAGAAGCGCGCGCAGACGCTGCTCTTCAGCCACCACGCGGTCATCTCGGTGCGCGACGGCAAGCTCTGCCTGATGTGGCGCGTGGGCAACCTGCGCAAGAGCCACATCGTGGAGGCCCACGTGCGGGCGCAGCTCATCAAGCCCTACATGACCCAGGAGGGCGAGTACCTGCCGCTGGACCAGCGGGACCTCAACGTGGGCTACGAYATCGGTCTGGACCGCATCTTCCTGGTGTCGCCAATCATCATCGTCCACGAGATCGACGAGGACAGTCCACTCTACGGCATGGGCAAGGAGGAGCTGGAGTCCGAGGACTTCGAGATCGTGGTCATCCTCGAGGGCATGGTGGAGGCCACGGCCATGACCACCCAGGCCCGCAGCTCCTACCTGGCCAGTGAGATCCTGTGGGGCCACCGCTTCGAGCCCGTGGTCTTCGAGGAGAAGAGCCACTACAAGGTGGACTACTCGCGCTTCCACAAGACCTACGAGGTGGCCGGCACGCCGTGCTGCTCCGCCAGGGAGCTGCAGGAGAGCAAGATCACCGTGCTGCCCGCGCCGCCGCCCCCGCCCAGTGCCTTCTGCTAYGAGAACGAGCTGGCCCTCATGAGCCAGGAGGAAGAGGAGATGGAGGAGGAGGCCGCCGCCGCGGCCGCCGCTGTGGCTGCAGGCCTGGGCCTGGAGGCGGGCTCCAAGGACGAGGCAGGCATCATCCGGATGCTGGAGTTTGGTAGCCACCTGGACCTGGAGCGCATGCAGTCCACCCTCCCGCTGGACAATATCTCCTACCGCAGGGAGTCTGCCATCTGACCTCCAGCCCTGCCCTCTYGCTCCTGCAAGAGCCTCTGCCTGAGGGTGGGCTGCCAGACACCTCCCCACGCTCAGGACAGAGCTGACCCTGGCTCCGTGGACCTTCTGGAGGAAGGTGGGGGCTTCAGAGACGGTGGGACCCCTTCCTGCTGACTGCAGAGCCCAGCCTGGGAAGGGCCCCCGCACTAGGCCCGGTGGGCTGGAGCTCCCCAGTGCCTACCACAGGTGGCTCTGGGCCCCGCCCCTCCACCCTTCCCCCGACCCTTCAAGGACACGCCCCCTCTGCTCTCAGAACCTTGGGGAAGGTGGCTGGACCGCTGGGGGGTGGGCACCGTSGGGTTGGGGAGGGCAGGTGTGGGGCTGGGGAGGGGGGAGGGGCGTTTCTTTTGCATGACTGTGGCCGTGCTCATGACTTTCTTTTGTAAATATCCATGAAGAGAGCGGGATGGAGGCCCCAAATCCCCCTCTGTTGTTTTTACCTGCAGGACCAGGAGATGCCATCCCTCTGTGCACCTCCCCCCATCAAGACTAGCCCCTCCCCACCCAGCTGGCTGGCCCCTGGGGGCCCCCAAAGACAGCCTTCTTAGTCCCTGGATGATGTGGGTTTGGGTACAGGGTCAGGACCGGGGACCTGGAGAGGCAGGATGGGGACCTGTCCCTCTCCCTCCCTGCGGTCCCTCTGGGCCCCCTGGCCCRGCCCAGATTGACAATGGAGTTTGTAACTATATATTTTTAATAAAGTATATGGTCCAGTAGGGAAGGCTGGTTGAAGACGGAGGGGTGGCAAGGGGGGGCAGGAGCTCACTGGTGAATGCGGCTGTGTGCCCCCTGGTGACTCTTGCAGGGGCTCCATCACCTGCCATTCTCCTCCCTGGGAGTCACCGGAAGGACCTTGAGTGGGCATCAGAGAACTGGGTCTGGGCTGTGGGGCCCGGTGGAGAAGGCCCAAGGGGCCTGTGCGAGGCCCTGGGTTCCACCCCAGCACTGCATAGAAAGGGGGAACCTGGGTCTGGGTCAAAGTTTGACTCTGATTCAGGGAAGTGGTGGGGGGGGGGGACTACTCATTCACACACACACACACACACACACACACACACGCTGATAAGGCTGATGCAGGTCACTGTGGGGGGGGACTGGAAACCTGGTCATCGTCCAGGCTTGGTCTCTGTCTCACTTCGGAACCTTGGGGAAGTCCCCCCTTCCTGTGGCCTTCCATGACCCTTGCTGTGTGACAACTGTACCCCTCAAACTCGGGCAGTGATGATTTGTTCTTTCTCGAGTTCCCTGGGTGGGCCAGGCCCCCAGTGTGGTTTCTCCCCGGCTCACTCAGGCGGCCACTGGCTGGAACGTCAGGTGACAAGTTCCAAGGTGATGTTGCCTGGCTCTGTGTCTCCCCCAGGGACCTCTCCTCCCCACATTCCTTCTGGCATCTGGGAGGCTTCAGGAGGCAGAAGCTGCAAGGGCTCCGAGGCCTAGACTTGAACTTGTAGAGTGATGTTTCCCATGGGTCCCCTCGGCCTGTCCAGGACCCAGGCCAAGGCAGGTGCAAAGGGTGGGAGACCGAGTGCGCAGCAGGAGGGCGCGGCCTGGCACCTGGGGGGGACTCTTTGAAGGTTGGAGGCGTCCTTGGGCTGTCACTATTCCACATGCCTGTGACTGGGAAGGACCGATGCTCCRATGTCCCCGGACCTGGAACACACCCCGCAGATCCAGCTGTCCCTTCTGGCAAGAGGCCAGGCCGTGGGGTGGGGAAGGGTCCTCTGAAGGCCTGCCCTCACAGGGCACCGTGGGAGCCCTTCAGGGTCCCTCCAAATCTCTCACCTGCTTGTCAGCTGCTCAGACACTGTGGCAATTGCTCCTTTGAGGCCCGTCTCCCTGGTCACAGCAAGGTGAGCCGTGGGGACACAGGAGGGGCAGGCTAAGCAGGAGCCAGGACTTTCTGGAGTGCCTGGGGGGAGCGCGGGGTGGGGGAGCCCGGCTGCAGGGAGGATGCTGCTCTCTGCAAGCTGCCTGCTGGCTCAGCTCTGCTGGCTCGCTGACTCACCTTCCCTCTCCCACCTGTTCCCCTTCACAGCCCTCCCACCTGCCTCGCCTCTCCTCCCCTCTGCAGCTCGTGCAGCAGATCCCATCTCTCCTTCCACTCTGGGCTCCGGGCCGTGGATCCCTGAGTCTGGGGGCGGGCGAAGCTCAGACATCCCAGAGCTTCTTGGAATCACGCGAAAGGCCAGCTGCAGGGGACTTGAGGGTGCCCAGGCCCTCCCCACCCGAGTCGGTGCAGACTCCCTGCAGAGTCAGGAGCCGGCCACACCCACCCTGCCACCCCACTCAGTCACAGCCCCAGGGGAGAGTGGTGGGTGGCAGGGAGCMGGAAGGGGGCACAGGTGGAGAAAAGGGAGGCGAGGTGGGGGCCCGRGAGGAAGAGGTGTGGTCCCAGGGAGGCAGCAGCCTCACCCCCTCCTCACCCTGCCCCCCTTCCTGAAAGCCACCCTTCAGCACCCGCCCTGCAAGTTGCCCGAGGCTCCCCGAGTGCTTCCAGAAAACCCATTTTCCTTTGGACTTAAATGGCTTAAAGAGAAATCCGAGAACAGAGGTGGCGTTCAACTCGGCAATTTCCCGGGCCCACTTCACTCCCTGAGTGAGGTCGAGTGAAGTCCCTGTCAGTCCTTTCTTAGATCACGGGGCGGTGACCCGGCCCTCCTCCCTGTGTGGCTTTGCTCKCGGCCCTGTGTTCCCGAGGCTGACCTTTCTGGGTATTGATGGATTCTAGTTTCCATTTTTAAGGCTGCATTAGGAGCCCGCGGGCGGCCCACACCTGTGATCCCAGTGGTGCGGGAGGCTGAGGCAGGAGGATTGTGTGTTCAAAGCCAGCCTCAGCAAGGCCCTGAGAAACTCAGCAAGACCCTGTCCCTGTCTCAAAATATTAAAAAGGTCTGGGGATGTGGCTCAGTGGTTCAACATCCTTGGGTTCAAAACCCGGTACAAAAAAAAAAGACCTCCTTGGATTCTGAAACTCGTCATGCTCCCTGGGCCTTTGCACATGAGGGAGACAACCCCCCTTTGGGGGAAACTGAGGCCTGGAGCAAGGCAGCCTTGAGCCAGCTCTCCCAACTCCCAGGCCAGTGCCTTTCCCTCTCCTGGACACAAGTCTGCTACATATTTGGATATTTGGGGACCCATGGCTAGATGAGAATGTGGGTCACTTGTTTAAAAAGGAAGAAGCAGTATATGGAAGCCACTAAAACATGAAGCCTTTCCTTTCTTGCGATTTCTTCCTCTGCTTGTGTGGCTACTGCATTGCCCCATGGAAATTCACTTACAAAACACAAGTTCAAAGACAAAAGTAAGAACTTGAAGGCAAAGTTTGCAGAGCATGAGACCAAGCCAGTCCCTCCCCTGGAGCTGGCCCTGTGCTGAGTTCCACTGGCCTAATGCTTCGCCCACAGAGGAGCGAGAATTCTGATTCATGATTCGCAGTGTGGTGATGCGCACCTCTGTGCAGTCTTTTTTTTTTTTTCTTCCTGTGGCTGTTTGCTTAGGGTCAGTACTCAGTGAAAGAGCAGACAGAATTCCGGGCAATGTTTGCTAGAAGGCAAAGCCTCAGAATCCAAATCCTTCCACAAACCCTGGCACAGTGGCACACACCTGTAATCCCAGCAGCTCAGGAGGCTGAGGCAGGAGGATGGCGAGTTTGAGGCCAGCTTCAGCAATTTAGGGAGACCYTAAAATAACTTAGAAAGACCCTGTCTCAAAATAAAAAATAAAAGGGCAAGGGATGTGGCTTAGTAGTTAAGCAGCCCTGGGTTCAATCCCCAGTACCAAAATAACTAAATCAATAAATAGATAAATTAATTAAACAGATTCTTCCACAAAACAGGCTAAACCTTAAAAAGTTGGGAAGGGATGAAGTTCAAAGCCAGGCTTCCCTCAGAGTTTCCCAGGGGGTTCCCAGTAGGAGACTGAGAGCAGGTAAGGAAGGACCGGATGCCAGGCAGCTGGTGTACAAAGATGGCCCCAGGGCATGGAGCCAATCCACCTGGCACTTCCTTGACTAGTACAGAGAGGAAAGATCCTGGATGTGAAAGCCTGAGGTTTGGATTCTGCCTTTGCCACTCACTAGCTGTGTGACTTTGGGCAGATTAATTCATGTCTCTGTGTTTTTATTCACAAAAAAAGAAGAGCCATTCATATATCTATCCCACATGCCTGTCATGTGAATTAATGAGATCTTGGATGTGACCAGATGTCAGGCACATTATTGGATTAAAATAAATGTGAACTGCCTTCTGGAAAGAATTTTGACTGGCTTTCAATATGGATACTTAGCTCTCAGTACTGAGGACTGGGAGGCAAGAGAAAGAGCTGTTTTCATGGTACCGGAGACCCACCCCTCAGCCTGGTAGTGCCACTAAAGTGCTCTGTCACTGAGCCACCTCCCCAACCCTTTTTATTTTATTTGAAACAGGGTCTCTGCTAAGTTAATGAGGCTGACCTTGAACTTGTGATCTTTCTGCCTCAGCCTCCCAGATCCTCCAGGGTTACGGTGTGTGCCCTGTTCCCAGCCTAGAGCTTAGTTTTTGATTCACTGAGTGTACCCAGGTCATCTCGGCCCTCCTCTGGGCTTCCTTTCCACCATCTTCGAATGTAGAAGGTTAGACCTCATGACCCCCAGGGTCCTGCATGTTGGGAGACCTAGGGTTCTGTCCCTGTGTCCTTCAGAAGATGGTGGGAGGTCTGGGGGGGAGCGTGGGGCAGGACAGAAATTTCACTTGGTAAAATTGGCCCAGTGTATCTTTGCCCCCTCCCCAAGCTCCAGCGACCTCCAGGGACACCCCTACGCATTTCTGACTGCCTCAGATCCAGCATAAAATTCCCAAGGAGGCCCTCATGGGAAGCCCCAACCAAAAGTATTTGCCTGGAGCTGGTGGTCAGCACATCCGTCCACCCCGCCCTTCACAGAGTCTAGGCTCCATCTTAGCCAAAAGGCCTGGAAGTGATTCGTGATAGAGTCTAAAGAGCGTCTCATTCATTCAACAAGTATCTGCTAAGCACCTACCGGAGCAAGGCCTGTCCTACGAGAGGGGATCCAGTGATAAGCCAGCGATGCAGCTGGGACCTGGCCCCCAGTCCCCAACCCTGGCCATGACTGGAGAGGAGTTTGGGGCCAGGAGTCCAGGCCTGCCCCTGCTTGGGACCATGGACAAACGCTGCCACTGGTGCTCAGACCTCGGACAGCAGCCAGTGTTCCTGGGGCAAGTCACCAGGCTGCCCGCTGGGGCTGCAGGTGCCAGGGCAACAGCACAGCCCTGTTGGATGGAGCGAGAGGAAGAGGCCTGGGGACCCTGGGGGCCCACACGCGGGAGGAGGACAGGCCCTCGGTAGTGGGCTTGCAGACACACACCRCAGGGTGGCCCCAGGCCTCATTCAGAACCAGGCTCCTTGTTCCAGCCCCAAAGTTATCA